ACCTGGGAGATTTTTTCTAATTTGAATTCCTTTAAAGCTTCCCAGAGTTCCTTCTTTATTTCACTTGCTACTATTCCAGGTATTTCAGGTGTATGGCATATATTTTCTTCTATTTACATGGCTCCTAAGCTTTCTTGGGATGGACTGGAGGTTTTATTGCATTTTGGTCTGTCCTTTTGTCATTTTGCTATATTTTCATGTCTCAAGTGATGTTCCAAAGCTTTCCCTGGGCATGTGGGAAATCTTCTATGCTCTTGGCTCATGGGACTGAGTGGAAATTGCTCAGCATGCTCGAGTCAGGCTCACAGGACCTTCCCTGCCACCTCCAGTGTTCCAGGAAGCTGGGCACGCCCCTAACCACTGTGGATGAAGTCGCAATGCTCTCCATGGGCAAGCGCCGATTTGTTAGTACTCGCAACTCCCCTGATTGAAGAAGGTTGCTAGGCATGGTCTAGTTGGGCCCCAAAACCTCCCAAGCCTAGACTAGTGTGCCTGGAAGCTGGCCAGGTCCTTGACCACTGGAAGCAATGATCTTAAACTCTCCCTGAAACCCTATGGGTGTGCAGGAACTCACATCTGGCAGCCCAGTTGCCCAGATAGAAAGAAGGTAACTGGGCATGGCCCATGCAGTGCTGAAACCTGCAGAGCCCATTATAAGTGACTGGAAGCTGGGCAGGCCCTTGAATGATGCTCTTAAACTATCTGGGGTCCAAGTTGGTGTGCAGGAACTCACCTTCGGCAGCCCCAGGTTCCCAGATTGAAATAAGGTCACTGGGCATGACCCAGACAAGCCAAGAAAACTGCAGAGCCCACTAGAGTGTGTCTGAAAATTAGGTTGGTCCTTAACCAGTGGAAATGATAATCTTAAACTCTCCCAGGGCCTGGGCTGTTGTGCCATGCTACTGTTCTCTTTCAAAAGGAAGAGCACATGTGCTGAATACTAATAGATATATATTAGCATTCAGTGTTTAGAATTATTGGGTTTACCCAAAAAGTAAACATTTTTTAAACTTTCTTGACATTTCTAACCTTACAATGGTATTGTGGGTTTTTTTTAGCAATAAGTGGCAAAAATGCCCTTCTGAAAAAGAAATTGTGTTTCAAAATGGAGCACAAGCTGAAATTTTATTGTCCTCTCCAATGTGATACACAGTTTTCTAGAATTCTATATGTGCTTGTCATTCTCAATCCATATGGACTCTAAATGGATATTCAAACACAGAGAAGTGTGTAAGTGTTTGGTCAGAAAACCTTCTTACTTCATTCAAGCATGAAATACTATTTTTAAGACTTACTTCAGAATTTAAAGCAATGCAGTTTTGGGACCATCCATTTTATACTGTGATGACTGAAAATTAAAAAAAAAAATTTTTTTTGTTGGTACCAGGGATCAAACTCACGACTTCATGCTTGCCAGGCAGGTGCTTACACCATTGAGCTAGCTCCCTAGCTCCTAACATGTTCTATTTTTATTTGAATCTAAAGGAAACATTTTAGTTGGTTACATTGGATAAGCTTAATTATTGCCTCTCAGTCAATTTCTCATAAACTTTGTCTTGTATATAATTTCTCATAAACATTAAGGAAACACAAAGAGTATACAGGAAGTTGTTTATGTTTAAAGATATGTTTACATGCATTTAAGAAATAGGTCATCCATACTCAAGCTTATGTTTTGCAGAAAATATGCAAGGAGTAAAATGACAGCATTGCCAATATTTTCCCCCAATGTTACAATCTGAAATTTCTGAACATTTTCATTATTATTTCCAAAAAGTTTACTTAAATTATTATTATTATTATTATTATTATTATTATTAAAATTCAGTTATATTAGTAAAATCAGGTTAAATGTGTCTCTTGTATAAAGGATATTTATGGATCCTGTCTCTTGATTCACTCTGCCTGTGTTTCTTTTTATTGGTGAATCAAAGCCATCTATATTAGTGGTTATGGCCAACATGCTCTGCCTTGTCTCTGCCATGCTATTTTCCTGCTTTGGGTTGCCAACTTTTCCCTCCCATTCCATTGTCTGCCCTGCTCAATGACTCCCTCTGCTGCTGTTACTGCAAATGTGGTCTTTTTTGAAATCTCTCTCTAGAATGTACTTCAGTAGTTTTTGTAGAGTTAGTTTGTTTATCCTGAAGTTCTTCAGTTGTTTTTTTTTCATGGAAGCATGTTTTTTCTCCATTAATTTTGAAATATAGTTTTGCAGAGTGCATCAATCTGGGCTGGAAGTTGTTTTCCTTCAGGACTTGAAACACTTTGTTCCAAGTTCTTGATTTGATGGTTTGTGTCAAGAAGCCTGTCATGATTCTGATGAATTTCCCTTTATAGGTGATCTGTTTCTTTTCTCTAACCACTTTTAATATTCTGTTCTTGTGTTGAATATCTGAGGTCCTGATTATTACATGTCTGGATGTGTAGATTTATTTTGGTTATGGCTAGCTAGAGTTCTATATGCCTCACTAATCTAAATATCACTTCCTTTACTTTGAGAAGTTTTCTAAAATTATTTCTGTATGCAACTTTTAATGTAATTTGTGTTGACCACTGCTTTTTCACTTACACCTATTATTCTTAAGTTTCTTTTGACTGTCTTGCAGCCTTTGAATTGTCAATTTCAGGTTATTTGTTATTATTAAGAGATATTTCCTTCCATGATTACAAGCTGCAATCCTGTCTTCATGTTTGAAAGAATCTTTAGTTTCTTTCAAACAGTTTTGCCAGCTTTGAATGGAATTTTTAATTTCCAGGACATCTCTTTGAATGCTTCATGTATTCTAAATCTTTTCTATATTGTTCATTCAAGGTTTCCCTCATTTTCCTATGCTCCTCTATTCTTCCATCTATGTCTTATTTAGAGCTACTTAGTAATTCTTTCATTTCTTATTTTATCTGAGATAATATTTCTGTTTTAATTTCTTTTATAGCCTCATGAAGTTGTTTATTTACTTCAGTTGCCATCAATTCATAAACTTCAAGTGTGCTACTTGTGCTGTCTTCCATATTTACATCTCCTGGACCAGCTCTCCTGGGTAGGAGGCCAGAGAATGCCTTTTGCTACTCCATATTTCCGGATTCTTCTGGACAAGTTGGTAGTGGGTCCCAGGCACTTCCAACATTGGTTACAATTTCTCTCAAACAAGACTGGTTCTTCTCGCCAGGACTGTTTACTGGTATCTGATGGTGGCCATTGGATATGCTGGTACAACGATGGCTGCTGCTTTTCCAAGCCTGCATTGGCTCACTGAAGGCTAGTGTAGTGCACACTGGGTGGCCAGCCACTGCCTCCTACTTGGTTACCAGTGGAGATATTTGATGATGGCTGGGAGAGTGTGCAAGAGGGTGGGCCTGGCAGGAGCCTCCAGGCTTAGCTGGTTTATTAGCAGAGAACCTTGGTGATAGCTGCTGTAATGTTCATGGGAAGGGGACTCAGTGCAAGAAGTTTCCACTGGCCTGTTCTCAGCTAGAGTTGCTAGGGGGAGCAGGCCACAGTTCTGGTTCTAGGCTTATCTGGGCTGACTCCAAAATGGCTCCTGGACAATTGCTCTTTCCCATGGGAGGACTGAGCCCTCTACACTCATCGTCAGCCAGTGTAGTCCTCTGAAATTACTGCTTTCCTCCACCACTGCATCTGTTTGCTGAGGCCTGCAGGCTTGCCAGCCACTAGTCACTGTGAAAGCATGTCCCCAGGTTCCAAGAGCTCCCATCGCCCAGTAGGTCCAGTTCCAGGAAAAGGCACCACCAGCTACTGCCTCCTTGTCCATTTAAATTTTTTCTATTTTACTCACTCTATTTTACTCCATGGACTTCAATTCTCACTTTAGATTTTTTTCCTGCATCCAGGAGACCTGCTTTCTTTCTTCTTGTCTTCTCCACAATGCTATATTCCAGCTTCTGGACTTTCAGAGAGGCTGTTTACTCTGCTGTTTATTGTTCTACCATCTTCCTGGAGATTCTATGAATATTTACATGTGTATCATTAGTTATATGCAAATATTTACAAATGTATATAAATTTATGGATATGTGTATGTGTTTATAACTAGACTATGCCTACATCTGGGAATCTCTGAAAACTCGATTTTTTATTTTCTTCATTTATTGTGTAGTGAAATATTGATATATTTTGAATTTTGACTAAGGAAATAACTGTTTCTGGTTTTATATATTGAAGACTGAAGAAGTGAAGAGAACATTGCAGCTCTGAAAGTTGTTAACACTCTTGAGGCTCTGTATGTTCTGGAAGATGAAAACTAACAGAGCAAATTTCCCTGTAAAACATTCTGTGGGTAATTGAAAATCGTGGTGCAAATATGGCCTCTTTTTGTTATTTTTCAGCCCAACCAGCTATCTGAGCCTTCACCCACCTATTCATTCATTATTCCACAGCACCATAGTCCACTGGATTACAGGGTTAATGATATAAAATTTTGATAAGCGCCTGTGGTGAGGGCCAGGGGGAGAAACAGAATTCCTGAGATCTGGCCATGGTGGGACTTAGGCAGCTTATTCACCTACCCTCTTGGTAAGTGCCTGAGGCATGAGCCTGGAGAAGAACCATTACCTGTGAGCCCACTGCCTTGCAGGCTGAAAATCAAGTACACCCCCCCCCCCATAGCTACTGGGGATAGATGTCTCAGCATCTCTTGGGAGGAAGACCATATGCAGTATAGCAAATATGGGGGATTTGTTTCTATCTTCTGTTTGAAGGCAAAGGTTGTTTTCACTATTTTGTTTTGTTATGTTTCTTTTGCTCTATTTAGTATTCTCAATTGGTTTTATAATGTTCTTTTTTTGGCTTGATTTTGCTATACCTAATTGACTGGACAACTATTGTGAAGTTGAAGAGATATACCATAGTATCTATTACTACTATCCCAATATGCTGTTAAATCCTGTACCAATTTGACTGCATTGTCTCGATTGGTTTTGTTCTGTCTTGTGCTATTGAATTTCAAAATAAAATTAAAAAAATAAAAAAGAGGTGCTACCAAGGTGTTGAGCACAGCTACTCCCTTGTTTAAAGTTACCCTTTCTCTAGCAGAAGGCTTAATATACATGAAGCTGCAGCTGCCATAGGAAAGGGAGACAACTATCATATGGGAAGAACAAGTAGAAAAGACATTTTTCCTTTGATTTGCAGGAGGAATCTTCAAAATTATCCAGATGATATTTGTGTAGGAGAGAGTAACTAAAGCCAAGGTGACCATGAGTGTTACTACAGCTAAAGTAAATGACATGAGTTCTAGAAAGTGAGTGTTTGTGCAAGAAAGCTGCAAAATTGGGGAAGAGTCACAGATAAAATGATCAACTATATTAGAGGCACAGAAATTCAACTGCAGCAGAAGGATTATTGGTGGAAAGATTATCAGGAGCCCTGCAAGCCATGAGCTAAAGACAAGAAGGATACAGATTCTGCTGCTTATTAGGTCATATAATGAAGAGGTTTGAAGATGGCCATATAGCAATCATAGAACATGGCAGCCAGAAAGTAAAATTCTATTACTCCCCCAAAATGAAAAAAAAAAAAATAGCTGAGCTACACATCCATTATAGGAAATGGTTGTTTCCTGTCACAATAGTGACAAGGAATCTGGGGATACAGACAGATGTGAATGATATTTCAAGGACAGAGAAGTTCTGAAGGAAGAAATACATGGGAATCTGAGGATTGTAATCCGCAAGAGTGAGAGTGATAATAATCAGGTGTCTAGACACACTTAGCAGGTATGTGACAAAAAAAAATATGAAAAGTACAACCTGCCACTGGAGATCACCTGTCAGTCCAAGAACAATAAATTCTGTTACTGCTGTGGTATTTTTCATACTCTTTGCATTTTATGAAGAAGTGTTCTATTTTACCTGTATAACAAGAAATCAATTAAGCTATTAAAGAAATGCAGTTAAAACATTTTTCTGTATCTGGCTTATTGAATTCAGTATGATGTCACATAGGTTCATCTATAATGTCACAAATAACATTATGGCTGTATCTTTTTGCTTGGTAAAGCTGTACAATTTTCTATTATGTACATATATAAATATACCACTTATATCTTAAGTTCATTATATTCTGTAAATATTCCAATTTTTCAATTAATATAGAGTTCCAGTTACACATGATATAAATAAATCTTGAGCTCTACTGTGTCACATAAACACTACAGTTAATGATATATTGCATTTGGAAAATATGTTTTGATAGATTTTACATGTTCTTACCATATCCCAAAATAGAATACAAAGCTAACTAGTTATTTGAAAGAATAACTTGGTTGACTGTAGTATTCCTTCCATAATACATATATATATATATGTAATTATATACTTTAAATTTATAAAATAAGAAACCAGTAAAAGAGACATTTTCAAAATCAATTATGTTGATACATCAAAATAAAATACTTTTTAAAAACTATTATTTTGCATTTAATAAATTAATTAGATATGTCCTTTTCTTCATTGTATTTTTATATAAAATACCTGTATTTGAAATGTTTAATTATATTCTCTGAAAATAAGAAAAATGGTAGAAACTTCTGCAAATAAAATGCTTGAGAATTCATTTTAATTGTAGTCCATTATTTTATACAGAACTTTGGATATTGTTTACATTTTATTTTCAAAAATGCTTTATTTGAGAGCATTGATTTCTCTTTATTCAAACTTTTATAATTTATAAAACAGAGTACTCAGTATCAACAGAAATGTTATGATGGTTTTTTAAAAATGATAAATATATTCTTTTGAATTTTTTATCTATTACTTAGATATCTTTGAGTCTACACTGAAATATAAAGCAATACTTAGATTAACAAATCTTACTTTTAATTTTATAAATTGCAATTGCTATTACATATAGAAGATCTTTTCAAAATGATGAAGCACTTGTTCACAAAATGTTTCTTTTTTGTGGATTATGAGGAGAAACAGTTTAAAATTCAAAGTAAGAGTTTTAAAGTTATCTCTCAGAAAAGTATGCTGACTACTCACATCCATCAAAAATGTTTCATCTTTATGTACATTTTTCATGAGTGCCTGTGTTATTTGACAGAATATATTCTCTGTATTAAGCATACATTTTTCATGAGTGCCTGTGTTATTTGACAGAATATATTCTCTGTATTAAGCATCTAGTGTAGAAAATAAATGGATGAATCTGAACATTTTCACTATAAAATATATAAACAACCTATAACCCCACTTTGTATTATCTGCTCTTTTTGTGTTCGTATGATATGCAACTTTCTGACCTTTGCCTCTACATGATGGACACAAATATATCCTATAAATAACACTCTCACTGCAGAAAACTAAAATATCTTAACCATTTAAACTGTATCATATAAATTGCTTGAAATCTTGTTCAAATTTCATCCCTTAGCTTCTTGTTATTGGCCATAGCACAAATGATTGAAACTTGATATCTAAATGGGGACAAAAAGTTACATACTGCTCCATTGACAAAATATTTATAGTATATGGACAAACGTGTTGCATGAAGATATTGAGATATTATATTTAAAAATATTTTATTTTGCTTGTATAGTTAATGGAAATGTGTGATTTAATTTTTTATGCATACTGTGTACAACTGAAGCTACTTGGATAAAATATACATATGTTATCAAAACTTTTCTTTCAAAGAAACATATACTTACTTTCATGATTAATATAATTGGTCAAGTAGATGTCATTTTTAATGACAATTAGTTTATGTAAATGTAAGTGCTTTGAGATTTTTCAAGAGATTTGCAATCAGTTTCTGTTTTGTCCTCTTATACGTGAAACCAAATATATAAAATACTGATAATACAATACAATTCCAAGAGTTCTTCTACAATATTTATAAGGCCATATAAACCTATCTGGAAATGTCACCCAAAATATATATTGGAATCTAACGTCCCAGACTGTCATGCTTATAAAAGTGTGCTTTTAAAAGTAAGATTATTTTACTACAATATGAAATAAACTATAATTGAAACAAAGGCTGATAAAATGTTTATCAAGCTCACTAGTCAATAGAAATAATGTTTTGTAAAGAAGTAAGGTTATTAAGGTAGCCCTAATTTTATCTGTTCCATTTACAATGGACTCAATGGGATTAGTTAAACATAATAATAACATAATAATAAACATAATAAGAGATACCATAGAGGTTAGTGTTCCCAAGATACTAAGTTCTATAATGTAGTACAAGTTAGTGTACATTGTGTTTTATTAATTTAATTTTCACAAGGAGATTACATTTATTGGACAATATCAATAAATTTCAAAGATGACAACATTGTGTTTAGGCCTATGTTAATGAAGAGAAGTGTTTAGGCCTATGCTAATGAAGAAGAAGAATGAAAAAGATAGTGAAGGAAGAAAGGCATTACAAACTCTATTATTATTGAAAAATATGCTTTGACAGAATAGGACCAGATTAATCTCAAAGACAAATACCACACAAAATCCTTGTACTTTAGAATAAAATATCTAGAATATCACCTTATTTTAGATGTCATTGGCCTAAAATCAAGCAGAAGCTATAGAAAATTTACATTTGTATAATAATTTATAAGTGTGCAAGGAAAAAAACTAAATAAGCAAGTAAAAGAGTTAGTAGTCTCTAAACGGAAAAAGACTAAGCAGTCATCAAGTGAGTTTTTCAATTTTAGAGAAAAACAAAAAAATTCATGGCAGAATGAGGATGAACTCTCCATTATTTCACATCACAAAAATACCAGAATTATGTTTAGCATTTTGTATCATTCCAGTGATAACTTACAAAATGTCAGCATGATTATATATTAGTATTATATATCAATATTATTTCACTTAATAATTATTTTTGGGTACTCATTATGTGTTATACTCTTAGGTTCTAAGAGATATCTCCTTGTGTGTGGCTTATCTTTATAGAGAAGACTGAAAATTTTACATTATTTTGAATTTCAGAGTCATTTTCCAAATTCTAATGCAGTGATATTCTCCTACACTTATCACTTTACTACTACTGATTTTTATCCATATAGACAACTGTAACAGCCCAGTATTATTATTTAGAGCCTTTTGTTTAGCTGACATTTAATTCCAAGGATCTATATGCCAAATAAATATTTTAAACTAAGTGGAAGTTGAGATGGCTCAGAAATATTAGACAGTGACAAAAATTTCAAGATTAGTTTTCCTGATTCTTTGAAACACATAAAATTACTCAGGGCATAAGATTTTTACAATAAAAAGAGTTTAAAAATACTGACTGCATGATGAATAAATAACATCAAGTACGTTGTGTTAAACTTCATATATGTTCTATTAACGATCAAAGTCAATAACTTCAGTAATATGACAAGAGCACACACATGTTCAATTATAAGCACCGTTGCAAGAGCATTTATATGTTACTCATACTCAAAATTATTTAAAACAATATCTTATAGATAACCTGTTTTTAACTGCAGAGTAGAGGAAAACTGCTTTAATATATATAACCAGCATTACTGACTTGATCATATTCGCAAAGTCCCTATTTACAGTGACATTAATTTCCAATTTCCAGATAACATTAATCTTTGAAGAGCATCTTCAAACCTGTAGAGTACCCCAAGTAAATACATCTAATGACAATTTAAAATAATAGTGTTTCTTTCAGATAGTGAAATTTATATGCTTTCCCAAATTCAGCAGAATCTTCTTTTAAAATAAAAATTTAAAGAATAAATTGTTTGAGCATGCCTATACCATAATTAAATTCATGGCAGTACCTTGGCTCAAGAGTTTAATCATTCCACTGTGATTCCAATACTGCAGAAAAAATTCTGTTACCAGAATCATGGGAAGGACTAAATTTGTAATTGAGGTACCAGTGTGTTAAATTGAGATGAAATGCATAATTTTAAATTAATACTTTAATATAACTTTAAAAAATAGTCTTAAGAAAAATGGAAGATAGACTTAAATCTATTATGCAAGACTTTATTGATGTCAAAACCTTACCTTGGGATTATATTTATTCTCAAGTGACTGGGTGGAGCTATTTATCAGTTGCCAATATATCCAGTAAAAGGCATAAAATGTATGAATATTTAGAATTGGGTTTGTTTTATAAAATTCAGTATAAAATAAAATGAGTATATATAACTATAAAGAACAAAAGAAAATGGAAAAATATATATACACATTTTAATTATATGTGCTTTGCATAAATCTATTTAACTTACTACACTAAACAAACAATGCTTTTAACACTGATTTTCTGACTTTATGCATGTAATGTCTCATAAAATACTTTCCCTTAAATGAAGGTGGGCATGGTGGTGACCACCTGTAATCCTACCATTCAGGAAGATGAGGTAGGAGGATTTTTATGAGTTCAAGGCCCTCCTGAACTGCATAGTAAGACCCTGCCTCAAAATTTTTTTAAAAAAGCTATTTTTTGCTTTTGCTCTTTAAAATTAAAAATTATCTTAAGATAGTTGTATTTCTCTCATACTTCTGCTTTGAAGGATGCCAATAAAATAAGCTAATAATGTTGATGGAAGCAGAATTTTTTCAAGACATGTGACTGGCTCCTTTTTCAATGATAAGGTAGCTTAGTGTGCTTGAAGTTATTTTTGCCACTTTCAATCTGTTCCATTGAGGCTGTGCTTTTTGAGGTGTTTGTTGTCAGTACCATGCTGTTTTTAAACACAATAGCTCTGTTGTATTTTGGGAACAATTGAAGCTGAAAATTCAACACATTCAGGGCTGTGGCATGACCAGGGTGTGGCTAACCTGATGACAAAGAGATACCTCAAAAGGCAACATAAGGCCACAGCTGAGGACACCTGGCTCCA